TTCTTTAGTAAAATTTCGTATCAAATCAAATAAATGGAATATTTACCATAGCTAACAATATAGTTACTGTAGTAATTGTTCGTTAGTGCTTGCCAACTAGATATACAGGAGTAAAAAATACAAACATTTTTTAGTGTCGATATGTAAATAGCATCGCCTGCATCCTGTTTCATAAGAAAAGGAATTCCATAAGTGTAGAAGAGGGCATATAAATCAAGGAACTTGTTTACCTCGGAAATATCCTTTCTTAAAAGATGGATCCTCATATGTGTAATGTGGTTTCTTCATATGATCAATAATCATTCCAAGCTTGGGGTATAAACCATGGACAAAGGAGCAGTAATCTTTACAATCTTACTGAGGACTAAGTGTTTATTATACTATTGCAAGAAGTGTACTTGCTAATATAAGTGTTACGAGAAATCTCAACAATGTATACCGTTTTGAGCATATGACCAGCTTTGCCTAATGCCGGGACCTGGATCCAGGGATCATGAATTTTACAATTTCGATAAAAGGTTGAGTGCTTCAATATAACTTGCATATAGTTTTGCATGATAAAGATCAAATAACCTGAGGTTATCATTATCTTACAGTTGAACTTCGGTATCTTGAACATTGATATCTCGAATACCATGTACCGTTTAATCCCTATCAACCGCCCCGGGCGCTTAGAAAATTGTGAGAAGGGATCGGTTATATTGGTATTCTCGGTATAATATTTAATGTCATATTTTAACTTCAAGAAATCTTTTGAAAAAGAAAAATAAATTCAGAGAACCACCAAAAGATTGTCTAACTTTCCTTTAAGTTAAGATAATCCACCCAAATTATGCTAAATTCATTTTTCCACCGAGAAATTAGAGAATAGACAAGGAGAACAAATTTTGTAGGTAACTTTTACTTTCAGAAATACATAATACATGTAATTAGGTCGTTCTGAAAATCTGTCACTTTCAGGAACACCTTACGCACGAGTTACCCAATAACAAAATTTCATTTTCACATCCTTCCAATTATGGCGGACTTTCTTACGATTCTAGATGATTGTAATCAGGGGGCAGGGGGCACTTATTTCCGGACAATTGAAAAAAACCTAGGGGCCGCTTATACTGTAGGGGCAGGGGCGGATGAAAGGGATTATACGGTATATGTCGAAGTGATTGGGGACTCCCCACCCCTTATTCTTTAAGTATCTTACCCTAGATATCTCGAATTCTCTGATATCTTTAAATTTTTTCTTGGTCCCATTGAGTTCGAGAATGAAATATATGGATATAACGAACAGTATTCAAGCTCAAAAGTCCATTAAACAATACAAAATAGGAGCAGAGCAAACACGGACCTCCAAAACATCAGAGGTGGGATCAGGTGCCAGGGAGGAGTGAGCATCCCCTGCCGACCGGTCTGACTTTAATTTGCTTGCTAAATTTCCATGAGAAAGAAAAGGACTTCAAAATATATTATATACAAGAAGTTTGTTCGAAAAGTTTGCGCACATTGTCAGTTTTTTGTTATATCATATTTAAGAAATCTGTGCTGAAATCAGCACATTTACATACCGAAAAATGTTTATTTTGCTGATTTGTTACGTTTCATTCCAAATAATAAAATGAAACTCATATTATTCAATTCTAAAATTAACATGATTTGTTATCATGGAGCACAATTAACAGGAAACACTCTCTCTATACACTTTCCCACAGTCTGACGCCATACCAATTTATTAAAACAAATCTATACCACCTTGAAATAAGCATGCACACGCTGATTTCAGTAGCATAATTGATTGTCAGTTTGTTTTTAACAGTATAAATCTACTTTTGTCAGATCTGCAACAGTAAAGCATCCATTACTCTTCTGTGATTTTTAAAATTTTTATCATATTTTTACAGATCGTACATTGTTTGATATGACTCTCTACCACTCAAATATACGTTTCACAGAGGACAACATATCTTCTGAAAGTAATTTGTTTTCGACAACCCGAACCAAAACTATAAAGTCAAAATCTGGCATAGGAAATGATACAAGAGGCCCACGGGCCTTATAGGTCACCTAAGTATCATGCAACAACTTTCCAACAATTGAATTTGGTTCATGTTTTAAACCAGAGGCCATGAAATTCAAATTCAGAAAGAGGCACCATTGCTAATAATAGCTATACACTTAGCATGCTTACTTGATTACCATCCCACAGGAACCACTGACCCTGGTGCCCCATATTTCACAATTTTCGAAAAGGCACCTTTGCTCATCATAAATGGTTGATTAATACCAAACAGCAGATTCCAAAGATTTAATTCATTTTCAGTATATAATCATTAGAGCTTCCTCCCCCATGGTATCCCTGACCAAGGGGCCACAAAATTCATCATTTTGGAAGAGGCACCATTCCTCATTATAACTATGTACTTAGATCATCAGCATAATTCTCAGGAGCAGAGGAGAAGATTTTCAAAGAATTAATGCATTTTCACTATATAATCAATAGAGCCCCACCCTAACACCAGAACCCTGACCCAGGGGCCGTGAAATTCACAAATTTGGAAGAGGCATCCTTCCTTATCATAACTATTTACATGCATCATTGGTTTAATACCTAGGAGCAGAGGAGAAGCTTTTCAAAGAATTAATGCATTTTCACTATATAATCATTAGTGCCCTGCCTAACACCAGAATCCCTGACCCCGGGGCCTTGAAATTCTAAATTCTTGAAGAAGCCCCATTGCTCATCATAGCTATGTAATTAGATCATTGACATTATACCCAGGAGCAGAGGAGAAGATTTTCAAAGAATTAATGCATTTTCACTATATAATCAATAGAGCCCCACCCTAACACCAGAACCCTGACCCAGGGGCCGTGAAATTCACAAATTTGGAAGAGGCATCCTTCCTTATCATAACTATTTACATGCATCATTGGTTTAATACCTAGGAGCAGAGGAGAAGCTTTTCAAAGAATTAATGCATTTTCACTATATAATCATTAGAGCCCTGCCTAACACCAGAATCCCTGACCCCGGGGCCTTGAAATTCTAAATTCTTGAAGAAGCCCCATTGCTCATCATAGCTATGTAATTAGATCATTGACATTATACCCAGGAGCAGAAGAGAAGATTTTCAAAGAATTAATGATTTTCACCACATAATCAATGGAGCCCCACCATAACACCAGAACCCCTGACCCAGAGGCCGTGAAATTCACAATTTTGGAAGAGGCGTCCTTCCTCATCATAAGTATGTACCTAATTTATCGGCTTAATACCCAGGAGCTGAGGAGAAGATTTTTTAAGAAATAGTATATTTTCAGTATATATAATCATTAAAGCCCCGCCCTAACACCAGAAACCCTGACCCAGGGGCCGTGAAATTCACAATTTTGGAAGAGGCACCATTCCTAATCATAACTATGTACATAGTTCATTGGTTTAATACCCAGGAGCAAAGAAGAAGATTTTTAAAGGATTAATGCATTTTCACTATGTAATCGATAGAGCCCCGCCTTAACACCAGAACCCCTGACCCAGGGGCCGTGAAATTCACAATTTTGGAACGGGCACCCTTCCTCATCATAACTATGTACATAGTTCATTGGTTTAATACCCAGGAGCTGAGGAGAATATAATTTTAAAAAATTATATATTTTCACTATGTATTCAACACAGCCCCGCCCTAGCACCAGAATTCCTGACCCTCCATGAAATTCACAATTTTGGAAGAGGCACCCTTCCTCATCATAACTATGTACATAGTTCATTGGTTTAATACCCAGGAGCTGAGGAGAAGATTTTGTAAGAAATAATATATTTTCACTATGTATTCAACACAGCCCCGCCCTAGCACCAGAACCCCTGACCCTGGGACCATGAATTTCACAATTTTGGTAGAGGGCTCATTGCTTATCACAATCATGCCAACAGTTTGACTGCTTGATGTCCAGGAGTAAAGAAGAAGATTTTTAAAGATTGCACTGATTTTAGTGGTTTTGGCCCCACCCCTCAGGCCCCAGGGGGGTAGGGACCATGAAATTCACAAATGTTGTTTCCTTTCACCCATACATGTCATATGCCAAAATTGGTTGAAATCGGTCGAGCGATGTCAGAGAAGAAGCTGAAAATGTTCAAATGTTAACGCACGACCGACGACTGACGACGTACGACGCACGACGACGGACGAAAACAGATAGCAATAGGTCATCTGAGTGACTCAGGTGACCTAATAAAAATTTTGCTATGAAGGTCTATACTGATTTTCATTTTTGTTCCGTGATCGAATTTTCGCAGTTTTGAATTTTGAATAAATAAAAATATATCATGGTACATTTCATATTGTAAATTAAAACCATTTAAATTTATTATTATAATGTGTCTACAGATTTTGGATATCATAGGGCTTTAAGTAAATATGTAATGAGAGAAGCCTGAACTTTCCAAACAACCCTCATACATACATGTATATTGAATATATGACCAAATAAACCCAATGCTTGGACGTTAATCCAAGTAGCCATTAGTTTTAAACGTTTTAAACACAGTCTTGTAAATGGCTTGGCATTTAACTAAACTCATGACAACAGTTCTCTTCCTAAGTGTCCAGGAGTAAACTTTCGAATATTTCATCACTTGTGATGTTTTTTTTCTCTCCTTTTTTATAAGGGACACTATTCATAGGCATTGTTTCCCTTTCCCGATTGATATGACTTATTCTATTCTAATTAGTTGGGTTTTAGCTTTTCAAATAAAAATTTCAAAAGTTTGTTCAGGTAACAGATGACATTAGAATAAATAAATGAGAGAAAAGAATAGAGAGATGTTCCCGAAATCAGTTGTGATCAGTAATCTAGGATTAAGAAGATAAATTGAAACACAAACTTAAAGAGATATGAAAATTTGATTTAAATCTTAATAAAAATGTCAAATGATTTTAGGCGTCAATTTCAACTTTCTGTAGGATGCATTGTAACGTAATTCGTCAAATACAGTGTTACATTATTACCTTTTAATGTCTCTTTTAATGAGTTTAATTTGCTGTCCGGAATCTCCTTGATGAGATCAAGGCGCAGGTTGTTAAATCGTATTGTAGAGCCTTTCCTCTTGTAGATGTCTCTTAGTCTATTTACTATAAATGAAAACATTTTTTACAACTAAAATTATTTTTCTTGATTTAAAGAAATTAATAACTCCTTTTCCAATGAATAAATTGCTTCTATTGTACCCTTATGAATAAGAAAATGGAGCGGAAGGCTGGTAGTGAAGTACGCACCCCCAGGGTTTAAATGAAAAAAAAAAATCACCAACAACAACAATGTTTAACAAGACAAGTGATTAAAAATGTGATAATTTTATATCTTGGTATTTCACCTTTTTAGTTGTTTGCAGTGTAAACTTGCAAAATATTTGTTAACTTATTAAGGTTACGATATCCGATATTATTTACCGTAGATGTCAAATTTCAGGTTATTAAATGTGATTTGAAATTGATTTATGAGATTATTATGAGATTTGATGTGCCAAAACTACTGTTTTCAATATTTTATTTAAAAATAATTATTTGAACAGGGCAAAAACACAGAACCCTTGAAATTACAGAGGTGGGATCGGGTGTAGAAGTAAGCATCCCCTGTTGACCGGTCGCCCCCACCATGATCCTTTTGTAGTGATCAGTAAATTTTTTTTGTAAAAGTCAATCTTCATTCAGGAAAAAAAACAATGAACGGCAATGAAAAATTTGTCAATAACTTTCCATATTTTATAGATCGAAATTTTCAAGACATGTTTTGGTTTCATTGCATATATACTGAAACGCAAAAGAAACGCAACAAGCAGTAATCCACAAATATTTGAATTTTTTATCTAATGATTTTCAAAAATTTATACAGTTAGGTTAAACTTGATTTAAAAACATAGGAGATTTGATAAAGGTGTTAAATGATTATCTTTTAACTTTAGAAAGTAACTCATGACTGTTAAAACACCCCTCCCCCCTCCCCGGCCATTCATTAACAGCGTGCAAGACTGTCATGCACAACAATTGCAGCTTGATTTCTTCGATGCAATAGGTTCATCAATCTCGAGATCTGAGCGAAAGAAATATTCTTTGTCATTTTTAAATGCCTGTTTTTAAGATGACGGGGTCGAATTTCCTCTAGCCTAGCAAAGTGTAGTATCCTTGGACTTCCGGTCCAAGGACTGTCATTTATGCTAATGATACGTAAGAGCCCCTTGAGGCGTGATGCATTGCATATTTGCATCTGCAACTCTCCATCACCTTTATTTTGAGATTTTCCAACTAGAGCAATGGAAATGCGTACTTAAGTCATTTTCAGGAAGCCTTGGCATAGCTTACGGAAAAGAAAGGATAATTTATTTTTCGGAATATTGCTGCATTACTAATGATGAACAGATGCAAACCATTAAAACCCCATATTGTTGCCAATTGTTTTGTTAAACATGCAATTTTTGATTTCTATTAAGCGGACTCAAACTGAACTTCCGGTAATGGTATGAAAGTCATTCAACCGTTGTACAGATATTTACAAAGTTGAAGATATCCTTACTTTTTAGATACAAAATTATATCCTATATATAATATTTCCCCCTAAAATAGGATGTTGCGTTTCTTTTACTTTTCAGTATATATTTTAATGAACATTTTCTTCATTTAAAAGATACGGTCTTAGAATATGATGTTAAATTCTTAGTTGATACTCACTCAAGCGTTTCAAAATTATTAGTCATAAACAGTATTAATACTCAGTGAATTATGTCGGCATTGTGCTTTCATACACCATGATTTAAATGCTATATAAAAATAGTAGTTTATAAGCTATTTGTGTAATAAATTCAATAAAATAATGATCTACATGTACACGTATATCCAATGATCTCGATGATAATGTCTGTATTTATATACACAAAATGAAATTGTAATATGAATATTTTTTCCATACCTTTATTATCAGCCATATTACACCTGTGAGAAGAGCTGTCATCTGAAAGGCATTTTTTTTCAATTAAAGAGCATGTTTATAGATGAGCTGAATTACAATATGTTTTCAGAGTTTGAGAAACTTAGTTTACCTTAAGTTAGTCCACCTCTTACATCTTAACCATGAATAGATTAAGTTTAAAGGGGTGTTTTCACTCATATAATACTCAGAAAACCTCGCTGATAGCTTTAACTCTATATTATAGAAGATAAAATTTGGATGTAAATTATTTCAAAATAAGCTTTGAGGTCTTAGAGACCAACTAAGTACTTCATTAATGTTGCCCTTTTAACCTATTATTTTCATGAAATGAATGAGATATGTTGTAGATTTTATAAAATAAAACAGAAAATATAACAAAGGAAAATATGCTGAGTAGCGTTGATCTCTATTTTCCTTGTGAGTAAAAGACACAGTATGTATGATATTCATTAATCGATAATATCTCTGTTTTGTAAAACAACCTGGTATATATTTTGTACTGGTTCCAATAAAATTCCGTGCCTCTATTTTGAAACTTCTGCTAATCAAGGAAACTTTTGTGGTAACTAGCACAGGATGTTGGAGAGAATTGGTAGTTCCTCTGTATTCCTCTTCATTGACATCTATTGGTGTATATTCATCGTTTTCTTTGTTTTTCTTACTCCAATGGACTGAAAAAGCCGCCGGAAATGAATTTATGATTGCTGTAAAAACTGAAGTCCCTGTTTCTGTCATTTCTGGTCCTTGTACTTGAATCTCAGGGACACCTGTAAGGTATTGAAATAGAAACTATGAGTACGTTCATTTACGAAACTTGTTCGTAGTGTCCATGAAATATTCCTTCCGAATTTTGTCGGTTTTGCACTTTACTGTATTCCAGATGTGCTCTAAGGCATCAATGCCTATACCTCGTAGGTTCCGGAACCTAGCTCCTATTTTCTTGTGTATTAGGTCATCTATAAAGAAAGTTCTGTGTTATTTTATTCAAAGCGTGAAAGCGATGCACAATACTTGATATCAAGTACTGTTTTGCTGTTGTGTTATGTAAAAGCGCATTTGGCGTGTCTATGTATGTCTGTGTGTCAATTGCTATTTGAAACACTACAAGTTATTTTAATATAAAATTATTGAATTATTGATGCATCTGTAAATGTACTAGGGGTTAAGTTTTTTTTTTTAATTGTCTGATTATTATCGTATTGAAATGATTCCGAAATAATGTTTCTTCTCTGAGATTTGCTAAAATTCAAAACTATGGAAACCCACTCTTGTAATATTTTTATTCTATATGGTTTATATTTAGACTTTGTTTACATTTTTACTATTATTTGCCTGTTGTTTTTTACTCTCTCCGCGGGTTTGGGGTGTAATAAACCTGAAGCATTGCACATAGCTTATTACGGCCTTAAAGACATCATGCTTATTAAAGCTACCAGAAATAATTATTTATATAAAAAATAAAAGAATTTCTATAAATTTTGCGTACATTTTGTGGTTTCGGGATTCATTTTGAAAAATTGTTAGCGTGACGTATTTTTCAGCTTACAAAGAAATCAAACGATTTTTAAACATTGTCGAGCTGAATTTTTATATGAATTTATTTCTGAGGTATAAATATTATGTGCACAGTTGAAATATTCTTATGTCGCCTAAATGTAACTTAAGTATAAATATAATACATAAATACTGATAGTAAGCTTTCCACCAACCATTGTATTTAAGTATTTCATACAAATATACTCTCAAACACTCCTTATTAGCTGCAAAAAGAAATGTTTGAGAGGATACTTGTATGAAATACTAAAATATCTTTGGAATACAGACAGAATAATTTACATGATAGAACAGCTCCCTAAAAACAAATAAGCTGAGCTCATGCAAACAACATTAGTTTATTTAAAGTACTCACTAAGAACGATTACGTTTCCGAAAGTTAATCCCAAAGCATTCGAAGCTCTACATTGAAACGATCCAGCGTCATGTTCATTTACATCGTTGATGACCAGTGTTGCATCATCAATGGTTCCTCCTGTATATTTCCCTCCACTTCCGGCTATGTCTATTACGTCATCATTTTTCATCCATACAATTTCCTTTAGCGGAGGCGAGTTTTCAGGAAGAAAGACATCACATGTCAATGTGACTGATTTGTTCGTTCTGTTTGTCAAAGGACTATATGAGATGATGTTTGGAGGACCTACAATAAAACATAAGATTTTTTTCAAGCAATGAGATCTTTGAGATATGAGATATGTAACATAAATCTCTTCATACATACATCCCGTAACGTTGATAAAAACGGTGTTACTCAAACGTTCGCCGATTTTGTTTCTCGTAAGAAGTCTATAAAACAGCCTGTCATCAAAGGTCGCTTTAGTTAACACAAGAACCGGGTTGCTCGGATCTAGTTTGGTTCCATAATATTTTGGGTCGCCCAAATCTATATCTTTACATGTACTAAATGAATCTGAACTCTTTTGCCAGACCGCTGTTTCACACGCTGGGCAAGATATTATCTTTGAGTCAATTCGAGTTTCATTTCCAAAGATGACAGAGTCTTCTGTTGATATTGTTGCATTTGGCAAATCTACAATTAATACATAAATGGAAGAAAATAAAATAAAAAAAAGACAAGCAAATGCAATGTTTATGATAAAATACAATATAATTCTGACCATGAAAACCAGAAACAAGAGAATAAAACACGGAAAATCAAATTAAATCTATCTTTTTATCTCTATTCATCCAATACCTAGCACAAGAGACTCAGAGACTTCACCGACCGCATTGGCCACCGTACAGATGTATGTGCCACCGTCGTCACACGTCGGAGATATAATGCTGAGGTATGTGTCCATTAAACGTCCACCTGCATATTTTTTCTGATCTATGTGCAAAGCCTCTCCGTTTCTTGTCCATGTAATGTGATCTACTTCTGGAGAATCTTCTGAGATTTTATACTTGTAATGTAATGTTATTCCCACTGTTCCCGTGGTAACAATCAGTTTTTCTAAAGTTGGTTTCTCTGTGAATTGATTGAAATTTCAATGGCCACTAATTATAATCTAGTGGATACACTTTCATTTACGAAAATATGAACAATATAAATGTTAAAAATGGAATAAAAAAGGGAATAGATATATTAAAAAGGAATTAGTCTATATTATACAATAAAAATGCCAATCATTTCATATTCTTTCTAACTTGAGTATTTTGCGATAATATTTTCAATATGAATACAAACATTAACTGGTTAGATTTGAAATAATGAACTCATTGGTTAATATTTTTGTCCGTTTTCATCGCAAATAACCAAGAAATTCAAGGGGTGACTGATTTTTTTTTTTAAATTTACGAATAAACATAATTTATGTTCTATTTTCCATTCATTAAATGTAATCATATTTTTTTTTATTTTATGCTTGAAATATATATCCTATCATGTTAAAACTCATTGATAATATAATCAATATTTATTTTTACAGTAAACTGAGGAATGATTGTTCAATGTATCTATAGTTTTAAAAAAATAATTTACGATTTTATAGAGAGGGGAAAATAATATATAGTGATGTGTGTTCTTAAGGATAAATAACTTTTTTTTCATCTAATACTCAAATATCAAATTAAATTTATCAAATAATAAACAAATATTGATGCACTGTTTTTGTAAAGGAGTACATGTACATATATTTTATCAAATTTAAGGTAAAAAATAGGGAAAATTTTAATGTACAACGTATTTATCTTTATGGCGTAATTATGCAGAACAAGAGAGATACTAAAAGGAAAAAGAAACGCATAGTAGACTTTTCAAGTGAATTAGAGCTGTAATTTCGAACGTATTTTCCAGTATTCTTATCAAACATTTAAATTATTCTTTAATGAACAAGTTACCAAAACATTTTACGTGATTTTGACTAACAATTCTTGTACAGGATGTCCCAGAATATATGATACCATTTCAAGATTTTGTAAAGCCTAATGTAATGAATATTGAATTACAACAAATGCGCTATAAACATTGCAAATACTGTCCAATTTTATTCACATAATTTGGTAGTCATTAAAAAGTAAACAACAGAATGAGTTCACTTTGAAAAATGCTATGGTTTTCAAATGATGCCCTCTAAATGAAGTTTTATCTGTGTAATGATAATGTCTAGACATTGCACAAAATTCCTTAAATTGAGACAAAAATGCCTGTTTCGATAGTAACTTTTAGATTTTCATCAAAGGTAAACAGTTTATAAATGTTAAGGATTCTGATTTGAGTTTAGCAGAGGTAACCTAAGACTATGATTGATAATTACGGTTTCAAAATGAGGGTTACTAGCTCTTTTCATAGTCCAATATGATTGAAATTGAATATTTTTGCAAAAGTTTGATATAAATATGTAACGTTGGAGTTTCATAAGTGTGAGGATTTTTTTTTTTTTTTTTTTTTTTTTTTTTTTTTTTTTTGAATATTTTGTTGCTAAAAAAATGTACTTATTCAAATATTTTTAGAGACATATATCAAAGAAATTGGCCAAAGATGTGTTTGTGGGATGTATTTCTAATGGTATCATATATTTTGGGACACCCTGTATTATTGAAATTCATATTACGGTACCTCCCAAAAGTGAAAATAAAATTTTCATCATCTCCCTTGAGCATCAGTAAGAGCCTTGATTATCCTGTGCATTGAGTACATCAGAGCATATATCTTTCTCATAGGGATACTATTCAACCCTTCCGATAGGAAAGTCCTAATTTGGTTGAGAGTTGTTGAAGCATTCTAAAGCCTGCAAATCCTAATGTTCAGTTAATCCCACAGATTTTCGATTGAGGAAAAAAGATGGATTTTACGGAATTAAGCTGATTAGGTAAATGTAGATGTTTTCAAGAAAGTCTTGACAAACACTGGCTATATTTTCCCGGCTTGGACATGCTAAAAAATTAGGCACACGACGCGTACGTGCGCGAGTGAGAGTGATTCCGACGTAAAGTTAACGAGCTCCTGGACCAAAATAGAGCTATTGGTTTCTCTCAGTTTCAGAGCGAATGTTACAATTATGAGTGTCTACTGTATTACATGTATTATCGGTTTCATTGGTAATGCCTTGTCTATTACAGTGGTCGCATGATGAAAAACCCTGTCTTGATGTGACATTATTGCGCGCCAGCGTCAACGTCACGGTTGGTTGGAAACCTTTCAAGTTACTCTGACAACTGAAAGTTGTTCTTTGGTTGAAAAGTCAAAAACAAACTGCACAGCGACATGTTATTGCTTTTTTATTCACATATGCAATTCAATTACTAGACCCATTGAAACTTCCGTCAGCCGTACAATGATTGCAAGAAATCAATCCTGACTGTAAATATGCAAAAACGATGTCTTTACCTCCAGTGCATCAGTTGGTACTATAAAATGTGCTCACAAAACTCTCATCATCAATATGCACGTGTTTTTGGCTTTTTAGCACTTTTCCTACTTGACGTCACGGTTGAATAGTTTTGAACACCGATTTTCGTGCAGAGTAACCAAGATACACCTTAGACCAGTTTTCATTATTTTTGGTCTCACAGTCAAAATATTTCGCATATTATGTTCCCATGCGTTTCTTTTTCCTTTCAGTATATTTATTAATATAAATACCATATTTCTTGATTGAAAGTATAGATCAATCAAGTTAAGTAATTTCTTCTTCAAATAATATTAAAAGAATTTGAATTGGACTAAATACATTGGAAGCATCTTTTTTTTTCTTGATGTTATTTACAGTATAAGCACTGTTTGTATCAACAAGTTTATGAAAAAGGTCTGTAGAAAAGAATATTACAATTGTTTTTTTTTTTTACATGAATGAAATCTACATTACCTCCTAGAGCATTTAGAAAGATTGAATTGCTGGTGATGTTGTGAGTTTGTCCGTCTATCACCCATGGAATAAAAGCTTGGTATTCACCCTCGTCTTCCTTTGATACGTTCGATATTACCAGCTGTCTATTATTGCTGCCCTCGTATTTCTCTGCACTAGTGCCAATCCGGTCTGTGCCATTATGTCTCACTCTCTGCCAGATAATGGTGCAGGTAAGGGACTTTGAAGGATTTTCTACCTTAGCCTCAAAGAGCACCATCTTCCCACAGACTACTTTGTCTTCACCATTTATTGCAATCCTTGGAAATTCTATAAAATAAATCTCATATAAAATGATTATTAAAATTGCTCCGTGAAAATCTACTGTCATTATTTGTCTATTCACTAACCTTCATTTTCTTGTCGCTTCAAAATGCATATTATACCATCCAAGATGGTTTTGTATTTCTCCATATCACTGAAACCAAAATCAGATTTCTCGATATTTGATAGTTCTTTCTCATAGTCAGCGGTAATCCCATTTGATAAAACAAATGCCTGTGTTCTTGGTAATACAAGTTTCAAGTTATTCCATTCTGTAGTAAACTCTGCATCGGGGACGGCTGTAGACTCCAAATGTGCAAACATCCCGTTTCTAAATAGCCTAAGACGCTCAATATCATCACCGATATCTGTATCTGTACTGGTTGGTTCACTTCCCCAACCCTGTGTTGGTTTTAAGTTGGAGCATAGATTTCGTATCAGTGTGTACAATAAGGACACGTCAAACTTTTCATAGTTAGGAACAAGAGGAAGAGGGAAAAAACAAATCTTTTTCTGGTCTGATCTGAGTTTATGTTTTCCGGTTAGCAGTTTCGGACATGATTTTATTTTTGCATATAAAATTTCAGGTTCAATTTGAATTTTCAGAATATCCTTCAATATTAGCTTTATTAGGTCTGTGCAAACTATTCCAAGATGAATAAAGTTTCGTTGATCGGTGGACAATAGTTTGGATGCCATTGCTATGGATACATCTCTGAAGTATGTCTATTTCTTTTTCTAATAATTTGTCTGGAAATTAAAAAAGAATTCAACAGTAGATTTCAATGAAAGTAATTCTACTGTACAATATGCTACACAAAAAAATGTATATTCATGATTAACTGTTAACTGTTTGTCATTCATTTTTACATATATTAATAATAATTATATGATTTTGTCGTAAATATCGCTGAAATACAATGATTTTAACTGAATAACTGTGAGATCTTCCTTGAGTAAATCTTTTGGATAGACGAAAAATTGAAAATAATTCTCAAATCTAAATTAATGAGAAGCAATAAAATCTTACTTTAGACATTTCTTGATATAATATACGGAATTTTGTAAGTTCCTTCAAATTCTTTAAAATCACCTTTCAGTCTTAAATAAGTTAAATATATCAGTCAATAGACGTTAATTTGATTTACCATATCTATACTTGATTCCAATATTTTATAAAAGTCCTTAGCACATAAAAATATTGCAGGGTCAAATTATTGTTCATCCAAGCCCCTAAACCCAACTCCTCAGAATATTCATTGTTGTGAAGGAAAAACGTTTGACAAATTGTTCTACAACATAATCAAGAATTGGTGTAAACATAAATTGATTTATAAAAAATACTATAAACAGCTTTTGGAAAATCTAAATCTAAAAACATTTCAAAAAATTAATAGCACCAAAACTTATAATTTTTGTATGCTTTATACAACCATGCTTTACTATAAAAGAGCAGTGTTACAACACAAAATGTATAACTGAGATTATCACATTTTGTGTTATTACATTTTGCTTCAAGATCAACACAGAATGTAATAATACATAATGCAAAACATACTTTTTTAGGGATATTACATTTTGTGTTTTTATAAGTTGCGTCGAGGTTAAGGCAAAATTTGATATAACACCCTCTGGATTAAATATTTGAAACTAAACATTATTTGAGACTATTTAAAATCACATTTCCTGATGTTTGAAAAATTTGTCAATACTCTATGGCATCAATAATATAAATACATGTAAATTATCATTTTTTTTTTCTTAAATTCTGTGACGAAATTTGCACAAATTTTATCAATGCCAGTTGAAATAATTACTTGTGTTACTGGAGGTGAAAACTTATCAATCCAAATTCAGGAAGAAACAATTTCCAAACAAGTTGAATCTATAATTAGATATAACAGAATATCTTTAGCTTATAAGCTTTAATAAAATCAAATAATATTCGATTTATTAAGAATAAATTTTATTTATAAGATTAAGATTTTATAAAAGAAACGTGTCGAAAGTTCGAAAATATGGCCATTATTTTCCAGTGGCTACTTACAAGGATTATAACATTTTCCTTTAATAAACTCTGCCTCGGGATCAATGTATAACGTGAACAGACAAGAAATTAAAGAATATTTTGGATAATGAAGTCAAGATTGTATAAAGAAACTTTAATTGATTGCAATATACTGTATTCCCACTTTCTATGATAAATGCATTTATTTGTAGAGATAATAAGCGATCATTACTTACTGCAATAACTTCGACGCAAAATGTTATAATCCAAAATATAGTGTTGTTAATTCTGCATTATTACGTTTTGCGTTGACCTTGACGCAAAATGAAATAACGCGAAATGTTTTAGTACAAAAAGTGTGTTATGACATTTTGTGTTATTACATTTTGCGTTAATCTCGATGCAAATTGTAATAAAAAATGTAATAATCTCTATTATTTACATTTTGCGTCGTTATATGTATTACATTTAGAGTTGCAAGAGTGAAGACTTTTGAACATTATAGACAACTGCTTCAACAGTAAAAATGAAACTCGTAATTTTTCATATCCGATTTTAAGTACTCTTTACAAGTACTCTGAAAGTGATATGAAATGAGTCAAATGCTGACTGACGTTTTTCATACTAATTGTTAGGCCATTATTTACACACTGAATTGTCGACGGATTTTTCCGTTATTTCCCGATCATGACAAGGAGCATACGGCGGATGTTACCGGTCGGCAGAGGATGCTCACTCCTCCAAGGCACCTGATCCCACCTCTGATGTTTCGGAGGTCCGCGTTTGCTCTGCTCCTATTTTGTATTGTTTATTGAACTTTTCAGCTTGAATACTGTTCGTTATCTCCATATATTTCATGAAAAAAGATAAAAGTAATGAACAGTGATCGACAATACAAATCTGTGAACAGGGCATAAACATGGAGCCCGGAAATTTCAAGGTTGGGATCAGGTGCCTATGGAAGTAGCTATAATTCTTAATTTATAAAACATCGTTAAAGATACTGGAGTTACTCATAAACCATATCCTTAGAGACCAGGTCTTCCAGCAATTTGTTTGAAATATGTAGAAATTTATTATGGTTTTTTTCAGCCGACCTGTTTTTTTATATACCTACGAAGCAGAATTTATTCAAAAACTTCTAGACAAGAAGAGTAAAAGTCTTGCTGTGGACTTTAGCTCAATATTTAAAACCAGGGCAAATTATTGACAAAAAAGTTGATGTTACAAAGATTTCAATCCCGTTTAAAGTCAGCTTTTTGAAAATTTTATGGTCGTAATAATGACTTTGTCTGTAAACACAACGTATAGTTAGTGGTATTTTGTCTGATATGATTCATACCATTTATTAGATCATTGCTTATATACTTTATTTTAGTACACATTTATCCGACAACTTGAACAATACATAGGACTCAAGGTGCGTGTGACCAGTCATTAAGGAAGGAACAATTCTTCAAGGCACCTGATTTCACCTTTTGTGTTTCCAGGGATCCGATGCTTAATTCGAGTTTTTCCATTGACTATTTTACACTTCGCATTACGTAATGTTTTTAAAAAGATAATCTATAAATTTGAGAATTTCTAACACTGCATTACTTCTCCTTCAGATAAAGATCGTCCTAAAACGTTTCTCTATAGAACTTTAAATCCTCCTTGCTTACCAATCAGCTTTCTTCAGGGTGATGAATGAGTCTATTTTAGAAGAGAATGAAACAATCAATGAGTTACGATGTGTTCACTGGTGAGGCGTGATTTGGTAAACCATACCTTAATTTCACATATTATTGAGCATAACATTTTCATCCATATGATAGGAAATACCTCAATGTAAATATCAAGCATGAATGTATATAGATATCGTACTATATACATAGATATCCTATATACATTTGAGAATATTTTGAATTTGCTTTCTTTACATATAGGAGTATTATAACAAATAATTCTCATTAAGAGGGCAGGGTGTCCAAACAAATAATTTTTCAAATTCATCATTAAATGTTAATCGAGGTACCCCCTAGAATCTAAGATGGCGAGTGGTTTTAAATTTTTATTTTGATTACTGTAATTAGGCAGATAAAAAAAAACACAATACATGAAATACAACATCCTTAAGTCGAGCACAAACATGTAGGGGATATCAGTGATTTGCAATGTGAGTCACCAAAAATCTTGACCAGGAAGAATTTATTTTAGTTTTAAATGGAACTGGTTGATTTTAAAATTGTCACTGCTTTAGTTTTCCAATTATCGATATTTTCGTAGCTTTTTTCAATGGTATTGTCATCCTTTAAAATCAAAATCAACATTACAAAAGTTTCGACCATAAATACCTTATTTAACATTTCTTGTCTTCCTATAGACAAGCCAATTCAATACGGCCCAGCAGTATGGACAAAGGACATAATAACATCTAAAACGAAAGTACCAAATTACAATGTTCTAATTCCGTTTTCTTCAATTTTCAAATAGGTCTGTACAATATTGTTTGGTAAGTATCAATTCCACAAAAAAGTGCGTTGAAACAATGTTAATGAAGAAAATTACACACACTACGGAACAGAGGATTGACGGGTATTTCCGATAAGACTAAATATAGGTAAGAAAAGGGACGTAATTCGCGTTGTTTATAAAGAGGGGTGGATTAAAAATTTAAATACCTTTTGACATATTGATTACGTCTAAATAGCCTCGAGCAAGATAATTTCAAAAAGCCATATTCTAGTCGAGTTTTTAATGTAGGGCTTAACCAATTCCACTTTCATCAGCAACAACAAATATCATAAAAAAAAATATTCCAAATTGATATGAAGCTCTCATGAGGGATTGGTGCGAAAGGCTTAAAAAAAATTTCGAAAGGCGAATATTGTTACGAGGGAAAAGGTAAGGTGAAATAATCAAGTTTGAATTTCTTGCAGGATATGTATGTGTTCCTGCTCATGCATCACATACGCAGCAATGTTAAGGCTTCCCGAAGCTTTAATTTACGTGTTCAAATCATAACACTGCACTGCAAGGTCGATGTTTTTTTTTTTTTTTTTTTTTTTTTTTTTGTAAATTATATACTCAAGTACGGCCAACGTATATAGAGAGTTCTCTAGGCTATATATAAACGTATTTGTTACGATATCACATGCCTCGTTGATCACTTGACGGTCATTTCTACTTTTTTGAAGTTTTCACATAAATTGCTTCGGCGCAGCTGATTAACACAATTATTATTAACTTTTTGTCACATACATAAACTCGTTGTATCCTTGTGAACCCGAAATGTGCTTGGGAAAAGTTATACTATTACTTTGGTACAAAATATTTCACAATAAATTCAACTTGCCGACAAATTTGAGGGTATTTTCCTCTCAATATCGTAATTTGTATTAAAACAAAGTCATCACACATTTTTCTCAAGCAAGATTCAGTTGGGGGAAACTCCTCATACAGATTTCCACAAAAGATCTCAAATAAATCCTCATTAATCACCTGCGCCAGGCTCTTTTATACACATATTATAAATTCTACTTCTATCCACGGGTATAAAAAAGGGTAAATGTCAAACGTATATTTTTGAATATATTTTGAACAGGCTGACTTTTAAACAAGAGTAATAAAGCATAGTTATCTAAAATATTCGGATATATAAGACTTTTAAAAAAGATTAAAACACGTTTATTTTAAACTATCTTTCTGA